CCACGATAATGATGATGATGACGACGATGATGATAACGTTGGTGAAGTACTGTATTGTATTGTATTGCATTGAAAGATAATATTAATAATGATGTATATTTGGGGGGGCAAACTTTTTGCTGCCAGGGCCGCATTGAAAACTATTCTACCATTGGAGGGCCGCACATGTACTTAAATAGAATGTACTTTTTCGACCCGGGGGAGAATGTTTTTAAAGATTTGTGGCTCCTTTTCGGTTATAATATCTAGCTGGCGACCTTTTTCGGGGGCGAAGGGCCACATATACCCACCCCTTCGGATGTAGATGATGAAATGATAGATTGAATGAGGCAAAATGAAAGAATACAAACATCTTGCATTTTTCAATGAACTTATTTTCATCCGTTTCTTTTCCTACCTCCATCCAGCTATCATAGAGCAATCCGGTCAGCAAACTGTCCGGCATGCTTTTCAGGAAGCTCTGATCACGTGGTGTTTGTTGTGGCGATATCACGTGATGTGGTCATTGTCATCATCCTTCACATCATCATCATCATCTATATTATTGTCATCATCATCATCATTGTGTTAGTGACGTCATTTATCAAATTAATTTATTGTTATTATTATTGTTATTATTATTATTAATAAAATTATTAATATTAATAAAATTATCAATATTATTTAAATTATTATTATTATTATCATCATCATCATTATCATGATTATCATGGAAAGTGCCTACAATGAAAACAGCCGAAACGGCATTGGTTGAGACGCTTCTTCCTATTGGCTGCCATTCATTCAGCCTCTTCTCTAATTGGCTAAAGTCGTTTTGGTTGGCCGGAGTTTTGAATATCTCTGATTTCATTGGTCCGCGAGAGTACAACTGGACTATTAGGGACTATTGATGATGATGACGTGACGACGACATGATGATGATGATGATAGTTGTGATGATGATGATGATGATAGTTGTGATGGTGATGATGATGATAGTTGTGATGGTGATGATGATGATGATGATAGTT